TGTGGATATATAGTCTACTGCTGGGTAGGTCATTACATATATTGTAGTTGTTACATGTGTATATATAGTCGTGCTGGGTAGGTCATTACGTATATTGTAGTTGTGCCATGTGGATATACAGTCTACTGCTGGGTAGGTCATTACATATATTGTAGTTGTTACATATGTATATATAGTCTACTGCTGGGTAGGTCATTACATATATTGTAGTTGTTACATGTGTATATATAGTCTACTGCTGGGTAGGTCATTACATATATTGTAGTTGTTACATGTGTATATACAGTCTACTGCTGGGTAGGTCATTACATATATTGTAGTTGTTACATGTGTATATATAGTCTACTGCTGGGTAGGTCATTACATGTCGTGTAGTTGTTACGTGTGTATACACAGTCTACTGCTGGGTAGGTCATTACATGTCGTGTAGTTGTGCCATGTGGATATATAGTCTACTTCTGGGTAGGTCATTACAGATATTGTAGTTGTTACATGTGTATATATAGTCTACTGCTTGGTAGGTCATTACATATATTGTAGTTGTTACATGTGTATATATAGTCTACTGCTGGGTAGGTCATTACATGTCGTGTAGTTGTTACGTGTGTATACACAGTCTAGTGCTGGGTAGGTCATTACATGTCGTATAGCTGTGCCATGTGGATATACAGTCTACTTCTGGGTAGGTCATTACATATATTGTAGTTGTTACATGTGTATATATAGTCTAGTGCTGGGTAGGTCATTAGGTATATTGTAGTTGTGCCATGTGGATATATAGTCTACTGCTGGGTAGGTCATTACATATATTGTAGTTGTTACATGTTTATATATAGTCTACTGCTGGGTAGGTCATTACGTATATTGTAGTTGTGCCATGTGGATATACAGTCTACTGCTGGGTAGGTCATTACATATATTGTAGTTGTTACATGTGTATATATAGTCTACTGCTGGGTAGGTCATTACATATATTGTAGTTGTTACATGTGTATATATAGTCTACTGCTGGGTAGGTCATTACGTATATTGTAGTTGTGCCATGTGTATATATAGTCTACTGCTGGGTAGGTCATTACATATATTGTAGTTGTTACATGTGTATATATAGTCTACTGCTGGGTAGATCATTACATATATTGTAGTTGTTACATGTGTATATATAGTCTACTGCTGGGTAGGTCATTACATGTCGTGTAGTTGTTACATGTGTATATATAGTCTACTGCTGGGTAGGTCATTACATATATTGTAGTTGTTACATGTGTATATACAGTATACTGCTGGGTAGGTCATTACATATATTGTAGTTGTTACATGTGTATATATAGTCTACTGCTGGGTAGGTCATTACATGTCGTGTAGTTGTTACGTGTGTATACACAGTCTACTGCTGGGTAGGTCATTACATGTCGTGTAGTTGTGCCATGTGGATATACAGTCTACTTCTGGGTAGGTCATTACAGATATTGTAGTTGTTACATGTGTATATATAGTCTACTGCTGGGTAGGTCATTACATATATTGTAGTTGTGCCATGTGGATATATAGTCTACTGCTGGGTAGGTCATTACATATATTGTAGTTGTTACATGTGTATATATAGTCTAGTGCTGGGTAGGTCATTACGTATATTGTAGTTGTGCCATGTGGATATACAGTCTACTGCTGGGTAGGTCATTACATATATTGTAGTTGTTACATGTGTATATATAGTCTACTGCTGGGTAGGTCATTACATATATTGTAGTTGTTACATGTGTATATATAGTCTACTGCTGGGTAGGTCATTACATATATTGTAGTTGTGCCATGTGTATATATAGTCTACTGCTGGGTAGGTCATTACGTATATTGTAGTTGTTACATGTGTATATATAGTCTACTTCTGGGTAGGTCATTACATATATTGTAGTTGTTACATGTGTATATACAGTCTACTGCTGGGTAGGTCATTACATATATTGTAGTTGTTACATGTGTATATATAGTCTACTGCTGGGTAGGTCATTACATATATTGTAGTTGTTACATGTGTATATATAGTCTACTGTTGGGTAGGTCATTACATATATTGTAGTTGTTACATGTGTATATATAGTCTACTGCTGGGTAGGTCATTACATATATTGTAGTTGTTACATGTGTATATATAGTCTACTGCTGGGTGGGTCATTACATATTATGTAGTTGTTACATGTGTATATATAGTCTACTGCTGGGTAGGTCATTACATATATTGTAGTTGTTACATGTGTATATACAGTCTACTGCTGGGTAGGTCATTATATATATTGTAGTTGTTACATGTGTATATATAGTCTACTGCTGGGTAGGTCATTACATATATTGTAGTTGTTACATGTGTATATATAGTCTACTGCTGGGTAGGTTATTACATGTCGTGTAGTTGTTACATGTGTATACACAGCCTACTGCTGGGTAGGTCATTACATGTCGTGTAGTTGTTACATGAGTATGTTACATGTGTATATACAGTCTACTGCTGGGTAGGTCATTCCATGTCGTGTAGTTGTTACATGTGTATACACAATCTACTGCTGGGTAGGTCATTACATGTCGTGTAGTTGTTACACGTGTATATACAGTCTACTGCTTGGTCTCATTACGTATACACACTGTCAGTCAAGTGTTAGGTGGGCCAATACGTATACACACTGTCAGTCAACTGTTATGTCGGCCATTACGTATTCACGCTGTCAGTCAACTGTCAGGTGGGCCATTACGTATACACACTGTCAGTCAACTGTTAGATCGACCATTACGTATACACACTGTCAGTCAACTGTTATGTCGGCCATTACGTACACACACTGTCAGTCAACTGTTAGATCGACCATTACGTATACACACTGTCAGTCAACTGTTATGTCGGCCATTACGTATACACTGTCAGTCAACTGTTATGTCGGCCATAACATAAACACACTGTCAGTCAACTGTTTGGTCGGCCATTACGTATACACGCTGTCAGTCAACTGTTAGTTCAGTCATTACGTATACACACTGTCAGTCAACTGTTTGGTCGGCCATTACGTATACACATGATCAGTCAACTGTTTGGTCGGCCATTACGTATACACACTGTCAGTCAACTGTATGTCAGCGATTACGTATACACACTGTCAGTCAACTGTATGTCGGCTATTACGTATACACACTGTCAGTCAACTGTATGTCGGCTATTACGTATACACACTGTCAGTCAAATGTTATGTCGGCCATTACGTATACACACTGTCAGTCAACTGTCATGTGGGCCATTACGTATACACACTGTCAGTCAACTGTTAGATCGACCATTACGTATACACACTGTCAGTCAACTGTTTGGTCGGCCATTACGTATACACACTGTCAGTCAACTGTTTGGCCGGCCATTACGTATACACGCTGGCAGTCAACTGTTTGGTCGGCCATTACGTATACACACTGTCAGTCAACTGTATGTCAGCGATTACGTATACACACTGTCAGTCAACTGTGTGTCGGCTATTACGTATACACACTGTCAGTCAACTGTTATGTCGACCATTACGTATACACACTGTCAGTCAACTGTCAGGTGGGCCATTACGTATACACACTGTCAGTCAACTGTATGTCGGCTATTACGTATACACACTGTCAGTCAACTGTATGTCGGCTATTACGTATACACACTGTCAGTCAACTGTTATGTCGACCATTACGTATACACACTGTCAGTCAACTGTCAGGTGGGCCATTACGTATACACACTGTCAGTCAACTGTTAGATCGACCATTACGTATACACGCTGTCAGTCAACTGTTAGTTCAGCCATTACGTATACACACTGTCAGTCAACTGTTTGGTCGGCCATTACGTATACACACTGTCAGTCAACTGTTAGATCGACCATTACGTATACACGCTGGCAGTCAACTGTTAGTTCAGCCATTACGTATACACACTGTCAGTCAACTGTTTGGTCGGCCATTACGTATACACACTGTCAGTCAACTGTTTGGTAGGCCATTACGTATACACACTGTCAGTCAACTGTTATGTCAGCCATTACGTATACACACTGTCAGTCAACTGTCAGGTGGGCCATTACGTATACACACTGTCAGTCAACTGTTATGTCGGCCATTACGTACACACTGTCAGTCAACTGTATGTCAGCGATTACGTATACACACTGTCAGTCAACTGTATGTCGGCTATTACGTATACACACTGTCAGTCAACTGTCATGTCGACCCTACGTATACACACTGTCAGTCAATTGTTAGGTCGACCATTACGTATACAGTCCACTGCCAGCTAGGTAATTAGTTACAGTGTATTACTATGACCACTTAACCACATTATTCCCATGGGGTCCAAGGATGGTATCCGTTGACGATTTGGCTGATTTTGCAATGATTTTTAAGCGATTGCAATCTGGGGTTGATGGTCAAAGTTATGTGACCTTAACTCACTGAGAAACTGTTCAGTTGTAATGAGATAACTGATGAATGATTTAACTAACTAAAATTAACTGTGACTGGTAACCGTTGGGCGAATGAATCGTTTTTATATACACACAGTCAACTGCTTGGGAAGTCATTACATATCATGTCGTGGTAACACGTTTATATAAACTGCGGACTGACCAATTGTTTAGAAGGAAGGTTTCAACAAAACTAAATTAAATATTGTTTTATGGCTTCCACGAATTATTACTTCGAGCTGTATAAAAACATAGATATTGTATTAACTAGACGTTTCGTACCGTCCATAAAACCGATACTTGTTTCAAATCACCACAGTGATAAACGTACTTGATATACGGCATGATATACTAGGTACCAAAAGAAACTGCATGTGATATAATCATATGTTGGTTCCTAGTATAACAACTAGAATTGTATACATAAGCAATATATACGGATACAGGAAATAAACTAAGTAGAGAGTTTAGTAACACCAAATTCAACCTGGAAAAAAATAATGACACAAACGCGGTAAATCATGTATCTATAATTTATGGATTCAAGAGAAACAAAAGACAATGTACACAAACACCACACGGAAGTACGCCACTTGTTGAATTCTTACATTAATATATCTATAACTTGTCAATCATTCTCGGGTACAGTGTATCACATCTTCTGATTCCGTGTATAACGCTGGCAAAACAATCCACGTAAACAGTAACCATGGCAACAATAACTAGGGAATAACATTACAATTAATCCCATATAAACGTTTTATAGATTTGTAATATAATTCAGGCTAGAATCTAATCTACACTTCAGATAAAGAATTAATATCTTTTCATTACCTAAATCTTGAAAATAAACCAAAGGCACCTATTGCTATACGATATTAACAATATGTAATCCTCTTGTGCTCCCATTTTCAAAATATATTCTGAAAGTTACAAAATTACTTTTGAAGATACTATTTGATGAACAGGTTTCTTAAATTTGCAGTGCGTTGCGTTAATATGTTCATTCAACACTACTGTAACAGAGTGTATGATGTTATGTATTGTGATTGCGATCAATCTGAAAATGAGGACACGAATTCAGTATCACAACCAATTGAACCATAAGTGTTCAACACAGCTTTCTGTTTAACATTGACAAGGTCAATTTACAGAGTCAGTTCATAACAACAAAATGAAACAAACTAGTAAATAATTGGATTAACATGCGCAGATGTTAAATCGGCAGATCCAGGTGCAGCCTTTTACATACTCTACAGCTGTCGTCTGCTTCTGCGCGAGCAGACGACACTATATAGAAGGATGCTTTGTACGTCATGTAACCTACATCAAAACCTACACGCTCCAATATTGTTTGAACATATATTCAGTTACTCCATGATGGAGATGTGACGTCGTCTGCTGGGATAATTGTTCCTGGATTTGGCAGAGGTTGGAGAACTCTATACGGGTACCTAGTGGCTCCTCTGACAGTAACCATCCATTCATAACGGCAACGTTATCTGAAATATACTCCATTGTGAGGTATCTGCCAGCACATAATCCGTATCAGGTGCGATTCTGTTTTTAACTTTTCATGACGTTCTCTGTTGCACTATATATCCACATCTCGGCTATAACACGTGGCTATAACACCTGGATATAACACAGATCACGATGAATATCGTTTCCATTTTTGGCGCCTGGCATTCTGATCCCGAAAGGGATAATTTATTCTCATATTTTTCATTGGAAATGAGCAACTAAATCTCAACAAATGGAATAAATCCTCTCTATGCCGCCAATGTATTCGAACAATTCGTTAATATTTCCAACCTTTTCCATAATGCATGTTTTCGTAAGCAGATATGCAAGTTTAAAGCACCAGTTAAACTTCAACAGTTTTCCCTGTAGAGTTTAGAAGCAGACGAATTCAGCAAAACAATATATATGTTGAGACTGGACGAAGGGTGGAAAGGTTCTACATACTAGAAATGATCACATCACAGTCGTGCATTTATGAAGGTTCCAGTTAGAACACGTGCATATCGTGCGTCACACAGTACGTCATAAACAGACACACGATATAGATATATAGATATTTCAAGGTCAAGGTCATCTTTGAGGGTGAGTATTAGACACATTGATCCTGTGCATAAATTGATACACGAGCCGATACAAAGCATTTCAAAGGAAGCCTGGTTGATTGAAATCGTTATGTTCTTTTGTTCAGGCGCTCTCCTCTCCTGGTGATCATGTAACCCCGCCTCCATTAATAGGGATATTAAATTTTGAGATCCATACCAGGTATACATGTTATCTGCTGCAGTGCACGTCTGGAAACAGTCAGCTCGCACGTGGACGCTATTCTCTCCCGGCCATCACTCCACAAATCTAACGTGGACCAACATCCATTACAAGACGAAACAAGAAGCGTACATCATATATTCACAGACCACTCACAATATCTTCTTCTGGCCTCGGATGTGTATTTCTGGAGGTAACTGGCCAAGTTACACGAATGTGTCCACGCAGACTTCAGAGGTACGCGGACTGTCGTAATGTCACGAATACGTCACAGCTCCCCAAGAGACGATCATTTGGCCACGTACATTGTGTACAACTGACTATTTCTTTTCATTATATCAACACAGGGACCTAAAAGTCTTTCAAAGGATCCTCTTTCCAAAAAGGCAACCTTTACTTTTCCTACTGCGTACACGTTTGCTGTACGTGGTTTATTTTCTATCAACGCTAACTCTCCGAAGTACGTTCCATTGGATCTAGTTGCTATCTCCTGCTCCACGCCGTCCGCGTTATTAATCGTGACGCGTATGTGGCCGTCTTCCACGAAGTACATACCGTCAGCGTCGTTGCCCTGTTCGATGATGGCGTGGCCATCCTCGTACGTCTGACCCACCAGTGCGTCCGCCAGCGTCATTCTCTCATACTGATCTAAGCACTGAAGGATCGTTACAGTCTCTAACAATGTTTCATACTTTTTTCGCTTCTTGAAGGCACTTTTGAGTACAATCCTTCTGAAGGAGCTTCTGTCCATGGCCCAGAGTGACCCGTCTGTCAACACCGCCACGACTGTTGCAGACCGGGGCATGTTATACATAAGGGCTAATTCACCAAAGCTTCCCCTATTATCAAACTGGTGAACTTTCTTATTCTCTCCCTTCACGTCGACGTAGACGTCGTAAATGCCTGAATCAATGACGTAAAAGTTGTCACCGTCGTCGCCTTGCGCAATAACAGTCTCTCCGGGTGTGACGGTACGTTCAAACATGGCGTCAATGACCTCTTGCATTTGGTCAGTGTCAAGGCTACGAAAGAGCAATATCCCAGCAACTGCTTCCGTTAGTCGCTCCCTCTGTTGGTCAGATTTGGGATGGATAACTCTATCTTCATCGCTGTCATCCTCCTCCGGGTCGTACCGCTCGGCGGACACCGACTGACGTCGTGCGTAACGGTTCCGATTTGACCTCGGTTTGAACGTCGCCATGTTCGGCTCCCCTGCGTCCTCGTCATCCTCTACGATGATATACATGGGGACATCCTTTGGCTTTTTTCTTTCACGGGCTTTTGTGAAATAATCCACAGCGAAATCGTAAAGGTCTCCAGGCCTCTCCCGCAGCACTGCCACAGTGAAGTCTCGCAGCAAGTCTCCAAGCCCTTCTGGTATTTCCAAATTCATCTCGATTGCTTTATATAACCGCCGGCTTACAACACTAAGTAAACTTTCATCAATCCAATATAGGTGATTGTTCCGCAGACTCTATATCCTCATCGCGGGTTCGCACAAAGGCGTGTTTGCGAATCGTTGCTTGAATTACGCCAATCAATGCTAGACCGCGCGATCGCACATCAGTACTTCTATAAATATTTCATATCAATGGGCACACAGCTGCTAGCATCCACGGACCACTCGTGACGTCATCACCCGTTTAGCCAATCACAAAATGTCGCTGATCACTTTTGACACAGCACACTATCCATCCTTTACTGAATTCCTTCTCCTGAGTTGTTTATTCCGTTTCCATGGAAACGCAGTCTGTGAACCTGAAGGAATAGAACACATTGTTAATTCTTCTCACCATGACATCCTGACATAAAAGTAGGTATACATCATTTTTATCTTAATTTCGCAATGAAGAAATGCAACTTTTACATAGTTGCAAGCCTTATGTCAGCACGATGCCAATACAAAATAACGGGATATATTTCTTATACTGCATGATCAAATATCTAAATTGAATATCCCATGATTATAAATCATATTGCTAACATCGTATTACAAATTATGTATTATACAGATTCAACAAAATGTCATATTTATTGTTCATAATATATTAATATTATTCTGCATAGCGCAGCTAAACGACCATCATTCGGACTATTGTCTCACGTCATGCAATGGAGTAGCGTTGCTTATCACCTAATGAACAATAACACTCAGCAGCCATTGAATGCCAGCGTCATTTCCAGGTTATTATTTATCCTTGGATAATGAAAATATGTGCCATCATCAATATACAGCACCATTATTCATATCTTAACTATTTTACAGCCATGCATATCCGGACTTTTTGTCACGAGTACAGCTATTACTCCTGATATTGATCGTGGAATTCTACTGCAGGCCCGTGTGTCTGACAGTTGTTATTTTACTTCGTAAACATAATGTCAGAGATATTTTTTAATACGCGTGCTCGACATGCACACTGTTCAAGTAGTTGTGTTAATTCGAAGTCCAACATACAAATATCGAGGTATCCGGAATTCGAGACAAGGGGATATTAATCCGGAGCTGAATCTCCCGAGAACAGGAAGTTAAATCATTTCAAATGATATTTTGTGCTAATAGAGTTCGGATTAAAGAGTGTGAACTGTACATTTGCAACAAATGTACGCAGGGGTTGAGTCCCATCCGGGTTTCTAACCCACACTGCCTGACGCAACCCCCAAAACAGTGAGAGAATCTGTACTTCACTAAGAAAGTATTATCCCAGATGTGACATTTGTTACATTTGACCGCTTTCGAAATGGCAATGTGTATTCATGTACATTTGTATGTCTTGTATCAATCTCTTTTAACAGAAGGAGATACGGCTGTCTTGAATTATTTCGGGTATTTGCGCATGTATTAAGGAGTTATTCAAAGACAAATACTGTGAAAGAAGTGTGTCCTGTAAAATAATCCCGGTGTATACATGTTGCATATGGAGGTATTGCCTGAAATAAACATGAGGTACGTTGACACATAGGAATAAGTAGTGTTGGCACATTCTGGGACACGTTCAGGATTATAGCCCCTGTACGTCACCACACAGCCCCTTTCTGATAACGCGTTTGCCAGTCCCACTGACAGGCTGAGTTCGAATCCCAACCTTGGTTCTTATTGGTGTTAACATGTCTAGGAAGGTAATCGGCTGCACCAGGGCCCACTTGCACAAAGCGATCATAGCTCTACTATGATCGTAACACCCATACTTTAACATAGGCTTACGATAGTCTTAGCGCTAAGATCGCTTTGTGCAAGTGGGCCCTGGTCTGGTATTCATCAGCGATTGTTGCCTCTACTGAAATCAGATACCGTAGTAATGTCCCACCCCGATGTTGATTAATAACTAAGAATGTTATAATTGTAATGTTAAAAAATATCTTAAACAAATGTCTGAATGTATGAAACCATTTTTGTTGCCAGTTGCCATGGTATCTTGTTAAAAATACCACAAAAAGCCGCTACTGGTGGAACACGTCGTGGTTATGTACGATTTTCAACATACAGAAGTCAGACCTTCTCAAACACCTTGTCCATGACAATGAATCATTAATACGCTTATGACAGAAATAAAAACACATTTTGCTATGTTTCCCGTTATTCTGGGAGCCTAAAATGGTGGTAATGGCGACATGCCATTCACATCCATGTGATAGAGGCATATTTGACGCTGCCATCAGGAAGAAGGATGGTTCATGCAACATTCTTATTGATCTGACTACGGGAGGTGTTTGATTGTTTTTCATCTCGCGTGAAACATTTCTACACACCCCAGTAGTAATGCGTCCGCACGATCCCATGTTTTCACACATCATTGTGAGTGGTATTGTATATAACTACATGCGGCATGACATTACAGAAACTGAATACGACGCGCGCAAAAAACAACACCCCTAGCTCTCCTTGAGCGAGTGACAAACAGACTTCAGATCAATTAGGCTAAAATATTGATTATTCTTGCAATATAGCAGACTTCATTAAAGAGTATAATGCACAGAAGAGCTCAGGTGAGAGTGTTTGGATAATAGATGACCCTTCTCCATGTGCTATCAGTTTGACTAATTGGGTCATATAGAGTCGTAGCACTGATATCTCCTTTTCTTGAAGACCTTTCAATTTTTTTTAAATCAGCTGGAATTAGGCTTAATGCCTAAAACGAGGAAGGTGCTTCCGTCAGAACGGACAGATAGCCTGAAACTAGATAGTATCAATGTTCTCAAACATAGTTGGAATTCTTTCGCATTATTTATGAACTCAGTGTAAGGAAGTGTATCTTAATATTCCATTCTCAGTTCAAAGTCGTGATGCTTCTTCAGAAACACAATGCTAATCTAAGATCTCGTAAAGTTGTTTGTTTCTACACTGCTTTGGGGCATAGCATAGCTAATGCGGGCCATACAATAGTCTCTGATGGGTGTGTATCGGTTACAGAAAGGCAATCCGGAACTGTGGAATGCATTAATAGCAATCATTGAGTGAGTGAGTTGGGTTTAACGCCGCTTTTAACAGTATTCCAGTTATATCACGGCGTGTCAGCTTAATGTGGGAGGAAATCTCGAAGTGATGCAGGTCTCAGACGTTTACCACTTCGGTGAAACCCACGAGCACGGGTATGGTGCGGAAAAACCTAGAAACCTAATCGGGGCGAACCGGGACTCGAACCCACAATCATAGGTTCCTGGCGTGTCCAAGGGACGCAACTCTGCACAGCGAATCGCGGCGCCTTAGACGACTGGGCCACCCGTGTCCCTAATTGCAATCAATGGAGGTTGGACAATAGACAGTCGTTTTAATACAGAGTAGTTTATACAGCATTGAATTCAATGACAATATTATTACAAACATACATAGAAATGATATCAGCGGGGTGAGTTTTCGTATCATATTATATATCATTGTTGAGACTTGTTTTTTGTGATATGGAAACACACGCGGACAATACGTTGTTATTAACATGTAATGTCATTCCTGAAATAATCGATGTTGAGGGACTAGTTTATATTCACTCAAGCGAGCCGCGTATGAATACAAACCGCATATGAACACTATGCCTGAATGAACATTATAATATATTGTCAAATGGCTTGCAGATATGTTTGTTAACCTCAGCATTCACACACCGGAACACATCGGGCTCTATCTTAACCATTTGGGAACGTTAGACAGTAGTTTTTTTACTTACCAAGAAGGCGTTGCTTATGTACCAATGTAAAGTAGTGCCAGGTGTTGTGCCAGGTGACCTCATTTGCATATATGTCGGATCGTCATACCAAGGTTATCGGAATTTGGTTTATCGCATGGATAACACTTATATCCATTATTATATATTAATCTACTCACGTGTGTCTTTGTCACTTAGCTTATGTCCATGGTGAAATGTTTTCATGAAATATCCCCAGTTTGTCACACAACAAAACATTTACAAACTTTATTTTCTAACATCCTTTGAAGCTCTTGTGGAGACTGTATGATGTACATGTGTTATTCATGGAAAACAAGAGTTGACAACCTACTGAACTTGACTGATCTATCGACACCTTGGTACTCTGATATGACGTGCAGTGTATGCAGTAAACTACTTTTATAACGAACACGCTTATAACGAACTGACGGATATAACGAACTTATTTTTGGCCCTGGCCATCTGCTGTATATCTGCTCATAACGAACTACGGTTATAACGAACTAAACTTACTTGTCCCTTTGAGTTCGTTATAACCGTAGTTAACTGTATGTCTAAAATCTGTAACACGTCAATAGTTACATCGATTACAAATATACGCAATACCGCTTCATAAGGTCGCAGAGCTTTCCTAAACAGTGGTGAAGTGATACACTATTCGTGTAAATATGTATTTAATGTTGTGAAAAGAATGGCCGGCTCAGTTTGTACCCCTGACTCACATCATGTGTATAGGCTTCGCTCCTTTAACTATATATCCTATACGCAATACAGTAATGGCTGAAATTGGGTAATAACAGAGAGGGAACTGAAATTGTATGCTGCCCCCACCCAATCCCCTCCCCCACCTCAAATTGACCCCCTTGACACGAAGCTCCAAAATAATACGCTATTAATAACATCGTCAGTAAAGCTTTCAAAAGGTTTTATGGAAGACATTTCTGCATTCGACGCATTAGTGACAAAAATGATAAATATGACTTCAACTTTCCAATAGTCAACCATCCCTCTATGTCGAGCAATATTCCAGCAGCTCCAGCCTTTGGTGTTTACATTTCACAACTTTTGAGGTACAATCTGCTTTTTCTACCAAAGATTTCAAGAAGAGTCATAGCACCTTCTCAGAAGTTGTTACAACATTCAAGGCCTCAGTGAAAACCCTTCAAACGTGTTTTGGTAGACTTGTTGAGGATGTTTCCAACCCTCCTCTGACTATGATAGGTTGTCGGTGACCAACATTCAAGGTGACCCATATCCCGGACACTAGGTGTCCTGTGAAATGAGTTGTAAGTGGTATGTAAGAGGCAGGTATCACCCTACCAACGACGTATTTCATATCACAGACTGGCCACCTGGTAAATGTGTTAGATAATCGCTTTGACGAATCCCTTCATGGTACCGAAATTAAACCCAATTACGTAGCATGCCTAGCTACCACTTGTGGTCGGTGGTTGTCACTCATTGATCCAGGTTTGATCGTAAAGTGTGTGGAACTAATTTTCGAGCTTACAGTTGTGATAATTCTACGATGTTTCTTTTAGAGCGGTTACTGTTTTTGTCTTTAATAAACCTACCCACTTAAGTGTACGTCTAGAC